GGTACTGGTGGGTATGCTCACTTCAATTGATAGGATCTCACTGATCAAATATTGAGGATTTTCGAGAACCAGCATAATTCTAGAAATGCAAAAGATTACATAAAATTTATATTATTTTTCTTCGCACAGTACCTTCAATTCCTATGGCAAGTGATTTAAGAACCTACCAACTTTAAGTAAATCATATGTATATGGATCTGATATTTAAGAATTCGTTTGCCTATTTGGAAAAAATATTAAAAATTAGAATTTGAGTCATGATTCATAATTCATTTTCAAATCCTTAAGTTTATTCACCTTGCCAAAATTTCAAGAGTATAAATATTTCTTATTATTGTTATTGACTATAATTGGCTATTTGCTCTGCAAAAGAAATCTCCATTTAATAGAGGCAGAGATTGTCAATTCTAGATATTACAAACTTTAATTTTTGAAACTCTTATCATTTAGAATAGTTAGGATTAAGAGTAAGGTAAAATTCTCCTTATTAATTGACTTTAAGAAGATTATTATCTACTACTTATTTGATATTTATCGAAACTTAGTTATATCAAAAATATTTTTTAAAAGGAATTTTGAAAGAGTTTCTCAGGGCATTAGATCTAAAAGTCAAATATCGAGAAAGAAGATGCATCAGTAAAATAGAAATATCAACGAAGAATTTAATTTTTGAATATATGAAAAACTTATAAATGATTAGGATAAAATTTAATATTAAAGGCGGAAAAATAGATATACTTATTAAAATGTTGAATTATTTTCAGATTCAATTTATTGGGTCTAACTTAAGGTTTAAGTTTATTCTCTAATTTCGATACAATTTTTAGTATCATATCATTTGTCATTCTTTTTAGAATCTACTCCTTCTAAATGTATCAGCATTTGCAGTAGTATAGAGACCATTGACTGATGAAATAAATTTTTATAATTTTAATACCAAATGTTGAAGTATCTGCTACTTTATGTTTAAGCGAAAAGTGTAAGTTAAAATAAAATTTTCTAAAACTTTAAATTTTTG